ATGTAATACAATTAATAAGCAACATTTCGATTATATACTGAATAGATATATATTGTGTGATAATAAAAAAAAAATTACGCCTTTTCACGAACATTTTTATTTCTCCTAACTTTTGATATAATGAATATATAAATCGAATATAAAGTTAAAATTATTTTTACGGATGTATTTTTTTCATATTATTAATATTGCTTTCGGTTTTAATTGCCCAACGTTTCGAACAGACTACAGCACTCATGGTTACGGGCTGGATTGAGTTTCTTTTACTGCCTTATGTCAATTTTTTGTTAATTATTTTGACCAGACCTACGCATAATGAACAGAGTATCAAAAACACAAAAAGAACAAAACAGCAAGAGTATCTTGAGATCTTCTAGTTTGTGTACTTGTATTAATTAATTTAATTGTAGAGTCCAAACTGTTAGTAATACGTAAATGTCTTTCATGTATTTTAAAATAAGAATGTGTTTTTTTTATAACAATAGTCTCGTGAGTGGGAGGGGTGAATGTTCTTTGCTCTGGTTTGAACTTTATCGAATTAAAGATAATGGTATTGTAAAATATCTTCACATAACTGCAGATTTATTCTATCCTCTTTCATTGCTTGAATACGAAAAATAAAACCTTAAAACTAACTTCAAGAAATATATTCATGATTCTTGTTATCAAGAAATACGAGGTAGTTAGTTGGTTTTGTAGGAAAACCATTTCATTAAAAATGTAAACAACAAGAACGATTAAAGGTTTCGCAATAAATCCGGGTGGAAAGAAAGAATCAAACACATTCTATTAAGACAAAGGATGCTTTAAGTCTTGTGAAAATCAACTTTATCATCTCGAAAGAACTACGCTTGCGAAGCAATGGCTAAACGCAATCGTCCGATAAAATGAAGAGAGCCAAGGCGTAAAGCGGCACCCGTTGGCAATGAGTGGCACTGCGGGACGCCCCACGTGGCCACCAGCTACCGGGGATGAGGCCAAACGAGAACCCGACGCCTGTCACGCTAAATTACACTTTAAAGCATTTCAATAAAGACGATTCTACGGTGAAAGCGATGTACGATGGGCATTTTTATGCTGATTATGGAGTATATAATCCGTTGTAGGGCATGAAAAGTGCAGATTGCAGAGCAGTCGTGCAGAAAACGACGATGTTATGTGAGCATAACAATAGTTGAATTTTGCTAATTGTCGTTGCGAGAGGTTACAGGCAGGCAGTCCGTGTTGAATGATCATCGCCATGGACATCTGCAATACTCGAAGGTCCGCAGGTGCATTGGCAGCCTATAAAAAGGGGACCTCGGTTTCCTTCGAACTTTTCCTTTTATGTAGAAGAGGTGACAAACAAGAAAGAGACTCACCCGATGATTAGTCGTCAGTGTCCATAGATATATCATAGGCAACATTTTGCTAGCTTACTGAGGGTAAAGGTTGCCAGGCATTAAGATAGACAGACGCCCTATTTCCTAACTTGTATCAGCTAGGACCCTCATACTGAACTAGCATGTTTTAATAGAAAAACCATGCGTACGACTTACCATCACTGGTCAGGTGGGAACATTTTGAGGTAAGGCATGCGACGGATACATCCTCCTAGAATCTAATTTAAAAACGAACTTTTTTCCACGATTCAACGAAACGAAAAGCGTTCGATTCAGAATCATTCTGCCATTGTCTGTGGACTTGCGGCAAAACAAATCACGGGGAACGGCGGCGTTTCAATTAACACACAACAAAGTGGCGCATTGTGGGCTTGTAAAGGATATTCTGCAAGTAACGCACCTAATAAACTAACTGATTACCACTTCGCTCTTCATAAAGGGAGCCCGGTACAAAATAATCGAGGAGGGGCGCTTCGTAGAATGCTATTAACGCGCCACAATGGATACTATCGACGCGAAGACGGGAGCAAACCAGATAATTCTCATTACACACGGCACAATTCGGCGTTATCGATCGATTTCCGAAGGCTTTATGGGTAGCTGCGGGCGGTCCAGGGTCGATCTGTGACTCGACGCTGCTGCTAACATCGCTTTAGGGTCATTACTCGGCATCGCAGACAGGACTTTTCAAGGTTTTGTACAAGGAACAGAATGTAGCAAAATTCTGATTCACTACCGAAATACCCCATAATGTTAGATTACTCTATGATTCTTCGTTATATTTGGCGCTTTTCGTATGGTCAGGAATTTATAGGGCTCCGTAAGGGAGAACGGGGTAAACTAGAGAGATTGATAAAAGGCCTTGAATATCTGAGTGGTGGTTACTTTAAGTCACGAAAATACAATTGAGAGACAACGTACGTTTATCAATCTATAGCAATTAAGCAAATTTATTTTTCTTTTGAATTAAAGACAGAGCAAAGAGTTGGCGTTCCCGGGCATTTGACCTGAAGTGCCTTTTAAATAATTCAAATTAAGAACAGTATGGTTCGAACAGAGAATAACAACAAAGCCCGCCTTCCACGTCATGGTAGCGCGGGGCCCGCCAAAAATCAACTGTCATCGTCCCAATTCGAAATTCAATTACGTGTAATTAATGCGAGCGGCTCGGTGGCGGGAGCGCGGCGGGCACAGATAGCGAAACAATGGTGCGGTGCCCGTTCGGAGCACCCGAGGCGCGGCTGCATCTCACGCCGTCCTTTGTCTCATCCTCTTTTTTTATCACCAGCCAGTGCAACCGATGATAGGCTATTAGTGTAATAATGATTAATTCACGAAATGGTATCTGCCGCGCCCATCCTTCGAAGGTCTCTATTCGATATTAAAACTTTTGGAATTGTTCTTATGAAGGTTACAACAACAATTTTAGCGCGATCGTAAATTTGACTGGACTTAGGCTTGTTCATGTTATTTTGTTTACATATTGATAACCTTATCTTTGTTAAAAAATATTTGTTTTTTCTTCCCTTCTCTATAGCAATACACACAGCTGACGCATTAGATTAGTAGCTGAAGGACCAGTAGTAGTATATTATCAAATAGAAAAAAAATTGAGTCACTAAGAGAGAGAGTAATTAATGTCTCTTTGAAAAGATTTATTTCTTGTAGAATTTACCCGTCTAGGTTTGTTACATGCTTTGAACTTGAAGTAATCACATAGGAACTGCCTTAAAAGAATCATACAGATGAAGACATAAAAAAATAACATAACTTTTTGCTACAGATAAATCTTTGACGTAGCCATTACCCGTTAAGATGATTTACGGTTTTAAAATGGCCTTCAAAATCTTAAAGACTTAATGACCTCTAATCGCACTATTATGGCATATTACATTCTAAATACAAAGACAACAGGGGACAAAGCCCTAACACAAATGGTCATTGCCACGAAGCACTAAACGACTAAAAAAACCTCACAATTATTCAACGGGATACAACGTGTATAACTAACTATTATAACACGACCAAACGACAATGTCGAAAACAATGGAGGCCCTGGCGGTACGCTAACGATACAATGCAATGACCAGGACTCGTGATAATTGGGGATTGTTTGAAGATTTTTCAATTACCCAGCGGCGAAGCAGTTGGGCCGCGTTTACACATTAAGCGTCTTGAAATCTACGAAATACGACTTTGAAATTTACTGTTAAAATTTTATCCGGGGACTGAAAAAACTATAACAATAACACATAAATACATAAATACATAAATATATAATACGAAACTTTTACAATAACACATAAATGATATAAAATCATGATTCAAATAGGTTCTCCTATAGGGAGTCCTATACTTTTGACTTCTTCCTAAGATCAGACTACATAGTATCCTCAACGAAAGGAAGAATCAGCCTTTACAGACACGGTATGTCCGTCATCTTAAATAATAGCTTTTTTTTGTAAAAAATATTATCTTTCTTTTATATATGGGTTTCCTCTTACACGTTTGGAGAAGAAATTAGTCCATCAAAAATTCAACTTATGATTTTAGACAATGTCTCCGAAAACGCCTTTTTTAGAGACCATTAATCAAGATATTTCACACGAATATCATTAAATAAACGTTCATTAACATAACACCGGTAACCTCAAGTTAACTTTCAGAAAAAGTTAAAATGGTAGATATACAGAGCTGGCTTGATTATAATCATCATTTCAGACTGTTTGAGTCCACCACTGAATATAGGCCTTCCCCACAGACCGCAACGAACCTCGATCCTGAGCCACCTACATCCATTGACCTCCGAACATTTGCCTAGGTCGTCACTGCGATGGTGAAGACAAGCCAAAGTTGACTCAGGTGGACAGTTTTAAAACGTTTTTGGGGAAACTTATTTTTTTTCCGAGTATAGAGACCGATAAAGCATCTAAAACTTCTTGTAACATTATTCGTTAAAAACGTGATAAAAGTTTGGTCGAAAATCGTGTCGTGGCCGTGACGCAAGCGCTAAAACCTCCAACCAGAAGGCCGTAGGTAGCCGGAGCAGGCCCGCACATAATTAGGCGTACGTGGGCGAGTGTTACATTTAAAAGTGAGTATCAACAATGCAGCAAGCATCCGCCTCACAATGAAGAGGTGTTAGAACTATTGTTCGATTCCTTTTTTTTTTTCACTCGCCCCGTATTTGTTAGTCATGCATAGTCTTAACTTCCTCGCATTCGTGCGGTAATGCATACGTAAATTAACCCGCTCCGTTTACTCTTCATCTCGATTCCGACAATTGAAGTCCCACCTTTTTAGACATGGTACCACATGAATCCAGCCACACATTTAGCGTGATTGAATGTAACATTTGTACTTTACGGAGGGTACGTTTTTGTATTTTTGTAATCAACAGCTCATAAGTTATCTTAAAGCAGTATGTATATATTCTTAAGGCCACTAATGGAAAATATTTGAATAGGCCGTAAATTTAAGGAATGGTAAAAACAACATTAGTCCATGTTTGTTCCTTTTTCGAATCAAAAACCTCCTGACCTTGAATAGACCTGCCTTTGCCGCCCTGCGGGGTATATAAACTGTTACTTCTACTTTACTGAGCGTGCCTTGCCATGCATGCTAAAACGGTTGAGCATGCGTCCAGAGCGGCATGCGTGCCATCGGAGCGAGTGCGCGAATGGCATCGTGCGTCGCATTTTAATTAGTTATAGGCTTTGAAGGCAGCCGAGGCGGGCCAATCCCGCCAAAACGCCCCCAAAGAAAACCGCCACTCCGCACAAGATGGCAACCCCACAAAGCGTCACTCGTCCCAGTGCGCGTCACACCTGCGGCAAAAGTGCCTTATTACCGGCTTTCTATGTAGTATGGCTTATCAAGCTCGCTGGCAAAAGGCCGCGTTTTTAGAAAAAACTTCAAAGGTGGCCGGGAAATGTTTTCAGCCGGGCTTTCGCCTTTTTTCAATGGCAATTAGTTAGCGTTTCCGCCGACGCTCGCTCTTACGCCTTGTGCAATTATGACGTCGAGTAGTTGGCGTCGCGCAGATCTGCGACGATTTGGAGGCGGCACTCCTCGGATAGTTTATTTCGCTAGTTTTGAGGTGACGTTCTTTTACCGTGGTAGGGCCACGAAACAGTCTTCGCTGTCGCGCGAATGGGCAGGTTCGCCCGGGTAAATACCACGGCCTCACGGAGAAAGGCGTGAAGTGGAAGGGTTAAACTTCTGCGTTATGTCTAGTGAGTGAGGTAACCGAAGTAAATTTTTTTAAAAGGTGGTAACGCATCTGCAATCCTAAAGATGTTGAAAATGTTATCTGTGGCATCATATTATATGGAAGGTTATCACTTAACATCAGGTGAACCGCCGAGGTGAATCGACTCGAATGGATATTCGAATGAGATAATCATAAAAGGAAAGTTGTTGTAATATTAAGAGATTTTCTAGAAAATGCAATTTTGACACATGGTTATAACACTTAAAATTTGTAAAAACTTCGTTGCACGAAGTTGTTGCCAATCTTGAAATCAAGCGAACGCCTGGTATTGATATACAACAGTTGTTGCATTTTTAATTTGAAAGATTGTTACATAATGAAAATGGTTGCAATTGACGTAGGTACATAAGGTAACTAAGTAGGTGGTAGGGTCACGCACCAGTCTTCACTGTTGCAAGAATGGTCGGGCTCGACCGGGGAAGCACTACGACCTTACAGAAGACCGGCGTTAATTGGAATCATCGCTTGAGGTAACCGGGGCCACTCTTTTAAAAGTTGGCAACGCGTCTGCAACCCTACGGGTGTTGCAAATTTTATCTGCGTTATTATATGTCACTTAACATAAAGTGAACCGCCGCCTCGCTTGCCTCCTTCTCGCATAAATAAAATAGGTACTTACTGGTCGGTACCAGTACATTGAAGGATAAGGTCTAAATTTTTTAAAAGGACATTACAATAAAAATCAATACGTCAATTGTTTGAATAAAATATTTAAAAACTATTTATATATATATTTAAAAACTATTATTCTCGTGAACATACTTTGATAACCTAACTCTAGCTTTTTAAGCTTCGTTCAACTTTCCCGCCAAAATGCGGAATGCGTCATCCGAAAATGGTCGGTTGCACATTCACGGCTCCACGTCGCCAGAGAGGGTGTCTTAAACTAAAAAATTATTGATATAAAAGCGCGGCCGCGTTAATTAAGCCTTTCACTCGTTTAATTTTTTTCTCAGTCGCGCGCGACTTTTGGTTAGTACTAATTTATTCGGTCGTTAATTAGCAATGGATCGTTTTGATCGGCGGAGCGAGTGCGGTATACGGTGGACCTTTTTTCGCTTGTACCCGGTTTTGGTATCGGTCAAGTTTGTGCCTAAATAATGAATGGGCCAAGAGGGCAAATGATACACGTGAATGAGGTATCGCAGCTTGTTAAAATATTCTCTTGCAAAAATCTATTTTCCTACCCATCTGTATATCTGTGCTGTCTTCTGTAATGTATTTATTATTTAATATGTTGAAACTTAATAGGGCATTCGCGGAAATAAAGTTCCATGACTAAAAAAATAATTTTGGCAGCATTTTTACATCAATTCATTTAAACTAAGTTAAGTTTTGGGCATTTTCATCAAAGTTGTTGATATAAGTGTTTGTCTAACAAATAGTAGTAGTAGGAAATAGAAATTATTATTCTATATAATTAATGAGCTCACAAAATATATAATAAAAAATTGTCAAAGTTCTTTTGCAGGTTAAAATTAGAGTGTGCATCGAAATATTAAGTGCATTCGCGATTTGTGTAATAGGTCGTCTCAATTAAGGTTACATTAAGGCAGCTTACACTTACAAAAGATAAATTGCAGTATAAATTTTAGGAAAAAAAGTAAAACGTAACTCGTTAGCGGTTGCAGCGGTCGCTTATTTTAATCCGACACACCCGAATTTAATAGCATTGAACGAAGGAAAACAGACCTCCTCATAAAGGTCCCCGTGGCGCGCCTTAAAGGTGTTAGCGTCAAAGCGCCCACTGTCAACCAAATCGCGGATCGCACCGCGGCCCGGCACCGCAAACGCCCCCGAACAACGGGCGAATCTCGTTAAAAATGTACAAACTTACCATGAACTAATTGGCAAAGCGGGTACCTCGCGCCTGAGACAGAATCAAGCCGGCGAAGTTCTAATTAAACACGCCGCCGCCGGGCCCGGCTTGTCTGCGCGAACAAAGGGCTACGCGCTCACCGCCCTCGCGCTAAGAGGCGTTTCGGTGTACGAGAATCGCGTTAATTACTCTTTGAGGGTGTAGCGGATTGACAGTGGCGCGAAATGGGCTCGCGGAGTGGCAATCGGTGCTCGAAAAGAACGCGCGTTCAAGGCGTTCCACGCGGATCCTCGAATGAAACGGCCCCGCGTGAAGCAGGACAAACAAAACAAAGAGACTGATGCCTCTGTGCTCACCTTTCTCGAACGTAAGTTGGTAACTGGCTGAGACCGTCTGTCGGTAAGCGATCACCACTAATCTGCTGTCTTAAAGAAGTGCGTATCCTGTTACCACACAAACTGGGTAAAACAGAAAATGATAAACAGTCTCATGACATGCATGACATTCATGTGCAGAAGAAGTATTCGGTTAAATAATTATATTGTGTAATCTCAATATGAGATAAATGTCATCACATATTCTGATACGAAACAATCAATTAAACCCTTGAATCTCGATCACTACCCTCAATCGAACTTCCATAGATTCGAATATCAGACCTGAACAAACGAAAACGATTTTGTCAAAACCACTACCGCAAATCGCAAATCAAATCCGCTTAAAATTTTTTCAAAAGTCGTATTACGTGAAAAGTTGACAAGCACTTGCTCGCTTTTGCTCGGTTCATCTGATATAACATCATACTACATACTGCTAATGGATATTTACAACACCTAAGGGGTATCTGCAACACCTTAACTGGCGTAAAGTGGAAATATAATACTTTCGCGTTTCGTCTGGTGAGTAAGGTGGCCGGAGCCCAATTTTCAAAAGGTTGTCAACGCACCTGGAACCCTCGGGTGTAGCACATGTCCATGGGCGGCCATATTCACTTACCATCAGGTGAACCGTCTGCTCACTTGGCACATTTCACATAAAAAAAAGAGGTCTTGTAGAAGTCAGGTGTTGCTAACTTTTAAAATAGTGGCCCTTTTTACCACTCCTAGACCAAACGCGAAAGTATTATACTTCCACTTCACAACCGATATTCCGTGAGGCCGTGGTACTTACCCAGAATGGTCTGCCTATTCGGGCAACAAGCGAAGTTGCGACACAGAAACTTAGTCATTTTCTCCTAAGTAATTTCAGTGATAATATTCTCATTCAATCGACTCATTGCAGTACAACAAAACCCCTTTGTTTAACATACTTAAGGAGAACAATAATTGTATTGTCGCACAATATAAAGTTTCACATCTTACGAATAGGACGCAACCCCGTCTGCTTGCTTTAAAGTGTTATGTTGTTTCATCGCTCTTTCATTAAGTTCCTCAAAGGCTGGGTAAACATTGTTTTCATTTAGAGAACCTTAAAATTCGCCGCTGAAACAAAGCCGTATCCGTACAAAACGAAAGTTTCTCACAACCATTGTCTGAAAAGAAAATTGGATAACCAAGTAAATGGGGTGCGTTATATAAGTTAGGTAAGTTACATAAGCCGCGCAATACTTGGGCACTTCCTCGCCACCACTCGACTGTACTCGGTTATTTTTTTCACAATTGGTTAGAAACAAAAAAAAAGTAATGCCCGACCTTTAACGGGGACTTTTCTCTAACAAATGTTACACAATGGCTTGTTGCAATCGTTTTCTCGTGGAAACTTCGCGGGACAGTTGAGCAAACGTAGCCTTTTCTTCGATTTTTTTAGTGATGGCTATTGTTCCATTATTACGTAAACTGAATTGTGTTGTTATAATTTTCGGCAAATGTTGAGCGACTGTGACATAATGTAACGTAAGATTTTAAACATTTTGGCGTTTTCGAATGTTTTGTAAAATGGCTGCTGTCTGGGTTACTGGGAGAGCGAAAGAGATAAAAATTATGAAAATTCGAAGTATTGTAACTTAAGAGTGTTTAAGTGAATTTGTTTTTGGATGCGTTTTTGAAATATTACCATCATATTTCTGTGTATTATATACATATATAATTATTAAAGATTAGCTTAACATTTTTTCTCTTCATGGCTACTACAATCCGTAAGATTTGTGTGAGTTTTTTTAAGACGATATAGAGATGATGTATTTGTTAATTAAGAACAACAGAACTAAGCCCAATTTTCAAAAGGTTGTCAACGCATCTGGAACCTTTGGGTGTAGCAGATGTCTATGGGCGGCGGTATTCACTTAACATAAGGAGAACCACCTGCTCGCTTGGAAATATTTCACAAAAAAATAAATCAATAAATAAATAATTATTTGGAAGCTAAGACCGTGTTCACTAATTTAGAAATCCTTCCCCAACATGTGTATACTAATTGTTTAGGTTCTAGTGGCTTTTTTTTAAATTTAACTTTATTTTTCTTTTCATTTATGATTTTCCTATTAGAGGAAAGTTAACTAGTGTATGTACAAGTTATTTATTTATAATAATTATAGGTATGGTGAATATTGTTTGTTTCGCAAATAAATAAATAAAATAAAAAAAAGTTGTATTATATCCTCGTAAAATCAAGAAAATAATTCATGATTTTTGTTTTATTACATCCTAAAATATTGGTAGCAGCCTATGGTATTAAAGTTTTCGACTCTGGAAGTACAAGGTAAGAGTTCATGTAACCTTTAGAAGGCTTCGCTAGAAGACTTAGAAAAATCAAATCATAACTACTTTAGTTATTTTCACAACTTGAGTGAAAATGCTTTTAGGAAGTTGATCCAACTTCTGGAAAACACTTTATTAGTCGTATTGAAGTTTTAAAAGACCGATGAACATGAATTTGATTAAAACCTGCAAGTTTTAACTTGTAATGAGAGAGAGATCACATTTGAGGTTATGTCAAATGAAATCTGTATTACCGCTCACGTTTAAAGAAGTTCTGGTATGAAAGCCAATCGAGTAATACCAACTTTTGAAGAGGATAAATTAAGTGTTTATTATGAGATAGGTGTTACGTTTGAACATTTTTAATCTCTGCGAGAAGCATTTGAGACTTTTATGCTGTTTTAAGAACGCGTCAATTCACAATGAAGGCTGACAATTGAGAATTTATCATTTATAAAAACGTCAGCTTCGCATCTAACTTCAATAGATACATCAAAAGTAAAGAGCGTAATTTGACTTTCTCCTTTTCCAGCTTCCAAATGTTCAGAGATTGGATATCCATCGCTACGCTGTTGTTCGTTAAGAAGAAAATCGTTTGAACGTCGATTCATTTTAATGCAAATGCCTCGTGTAACCCCGTAACATCTGATTTATGATGTGGCTCGGACACCCAAGCAACAAAAACTTCTATCAATAGAACAAGAAACATAATGAATGCCCGTTACAATACTCGCTGTAATTGTTTAGACAAAAGCTTTCGTTTATTACATCAGTACTGTAAGCAATTATGCGACAGCAATCAATTTAAAACCCAAAAGTGTAGGGCGCAAAGTTCAATTTTTGATGTGTTCGGAGTCGAGTTAGTGCCATTTGTACTCGGACTGTTGCAGCGATGTCTTTCACCATCAAAGCTATCGCCGATGGTTGTAAAGTTAATTTTTATGACGTCTTAACAACAAAAGAGGGGCATTATAAAAGAAAAGACACATTCCATAGTTTCTATTTTAACCATAATAGGCTCCATAATACCATTACTGTTGTTTTAGAGCCCTTCGGTAATATTCTTTTTGTTCGTAAATCTCTTACGGTCCCGCTTGCATTGAATTCTCGTGAGGTCCGTTCTTATTCACATTAACACCGATACTTAGCCACAAAGATTGTTTGCGGACACGTCTGTGTGTTCGACTGTAGGATTGTTTGTAATCATAAAGAAACAGCTGGAAATTGCCACAAGTGTGCCGTTTTTGGAAGCCCTCATTGGGGAAATTCATCTTTTTCTTGTTGTATTTACGATCTTCTTTGGTCAATTCCATGTATTTTAGTCACCCCCTGCTGATGTGGCACCTCTCTTCTTTTCTTTAGCTTAACTCGAAAATGACTCCTTCATCCATAGAATCAAACAAAATAATGTTCCGGTTTCTTCTTTAAATGAATTTGTCATGGTGATGGTTCTGGCTTCACCGTGTTTAAATAGTACTACTTGAAAACATTGTAGAGGTAGAGAATTATCCTTTATTTTCTCTTAACCTGTATAAGTCATCCTTAATAATTTTGGATTACTTAACTCAAACTATTAGTTTGCTGGATGGAGAACTTACCTTGCTAATACTTATGATCGTGTATGATAATGTATTTAATGATAATTATTATTCATATCAATAAAGTAAAGTAAAAAAGTAACAGCCTATATGTCCCACTGGTGGGCAAAGGCCAGCTCTGTACAGAGGGCATTAGGCCATAGTCCACTACGCGGCATCATTGCGGATTGGCCAATTTCACATTTTCGTTACATTTCTTTTTTGAGGTTATTCCGAAAATATACAGGTTTACTCACGATTTTTTCCTTTACCTCTGTGCACGTGATAAGTCAGCATTTAAAATTAACAATTTCATTAGTGCCGGCATTAAACTCGGGTTGCTCGAGTACATTAAATTTAATAGCGTTCGGTCATTGAGCTATTACGCCCTTTTTTATTTATTAATCATTATATTATACATTTTAATAATGATTATTGTAATAAAAATAGTGCTGCTTTCTTCCATATTTCTTCCCGTTAGACATGTCAATTTTATTTAGTTACTTTTGGTGAGGTTCTCAGAGGTTGTAAAAGTACCTCTAAAATAAGTTTCGATGATTTTCCAAATGTCCGTAAGATAATTGACAATAACTTATTTGTCTCTATTTATCTGTTAATGTTTAATCTCATTTACGTTAATGACAACAATTCTAATTTATTAATAGGAAATAGTCTTTACCGTAAATCAGGTAATAGAAAAGTCTTATACAATATTATACAGCTATAGAATGTTAAATAATTAATAGAACCCCTGTTATTGCCGTTATCTGCCAATGCTCGGGCAGGGAAACAAATCCATAACGACTGATCGAATTCTCCGATTGCTTATAACGAACATCTTTTAAACTTTTGGACTTTATCATTCTCCCCCGCCCACTGCCGTTGACAGTTCGCCTAATTGATTGTTTTTTTATCTACATTTCCCTCC